GGGGCAAGGGGGGGGCACACGGCGACCCAGCCTGGGTGTCGCTGCCAGGATTCGGAGCTTACCGGTCAGCCCCCTCCGAGCCCCGGGTTCCTGACACGGGTTTGGAGAGGAGCTTCAATAAAGAGAGCCTTGTGGGGGTTGGTCTGGTGCCTGTGTCTAGCTCGAGCATCACCCAGCCTTTTTTTTTTTTTTTTTTTTTTCTTTTTTCCCATAGTCACGGGAGCTCACGACTTACTCCATGGAAAGATAAATTCAGATTCTCAAATGATCACAGCGTTCCCAGAGCTGAGACTTCAAGAAATGTGCTCACGGCGGGAGACGTACAGCAAAATCTCAGGAGCTCAGTCCACGTTGGCAGACTCTCCACACACTTTCTCTGGCAGGCATAAATGACTATTAAAGAAAAGGCTGTTGCCAAAATACATAATAAAATGAATGACCAGTTGGTAGGAACCTTCACTGACTTTTCTTGCCAGTGCTTTCTCTGAAGTGATAAACTTAAAATGATGCGAAAAGAAATTGTGGAAGAGGAACTGGAGATTTATGATAGATGGATACTGTGCTGCTGGGACGAGACCAGACTCTGGGGCGCAAAGAGCATGGAGCTGAAATGAGGGTGCCCACAGGAAGCAGAAGTGAGCAGCACCTACCTGCATGGCTGTCGGGTAGGAAAGCAGGGGCACAAGGGGGAACGAAGGAACCAAATGAGGCAGAAGAGAGAAGGACAGACTGTCTGAAGTTGTCCTGACATCAGAGACCAGGGCAATTCTGTGTAAGGACTCTCTGCTAGTTCTGAAACATGGCCTGAGGCAAACAAGTCAAAGTTTTGAACACAAATCCTGCTGAGACATGAAATACCCAGCACAGAAGATTCAAATCTTTGTGGCAATATCTCCCATGAATGCCAAAATATCTTGCCAGGACGCGACAATACCAGGGGACTCCCAGTGACCATCTCACAGGTTGCTTAGTGCTGTGGGCTGATTTGGACCTCCGTTTCAAAGCAGCTCCAGGCAGCGTTTCCATTAGCAGAGTGCAGTTTCAATGCATTGAATGGTGTATTATTCACTCTTTGAAGAAAAATTGTAAGGAGAAAATTATGGAGTGGGGAAAACAGCACAGACTGTCCTTGGAGCTTTTTGTAACAATGCTCTCTTTGAAATAAATATAAAGGAGCAAATAAAATGTAATCAAAGAAACAGCAACAAAAAAGCCTATCTGTAAATTGTTCACATACTTTAAAGCAAAAGCAAAGGCAGAAATTAACTCTCTTTAAGACTGTTATAGATTTCCATTTGGGAAGCAGCAGGACAGGAACATACAGATATTGGCCGTTGACACCGCAAGCTGCCTCTGCCACATCCGATAGACAAGTCTTAATTAAGTAAATGACGGGACAAAATGCGGTGCTCAGCCCCAGCAATGCAGCCCGGAAGAAAGCAAGCTCCTCTCCTGGGCCCCAGCACAATCTGCCAAGGCCCTGGGTGGGCAGTGGCCTTCCGATAGCTGATACAAAGCCAGGAAATTGTTGTCAGTGCACAACAAATGGCCGTCTCATTGATCTTTCAAAACCCAGGAGCTACAGCACATATTCTTGAGCGTTTGCTAGAACCTTACTTACTGGTTATTTAACCACACGCAAACATCTTGCTGCTCTGCCACCCGCTCTCCTCCCCATTATGTGCCAGCTTGTGTTAGGCACGTATATTAATTTGTTGGTAATAATTACAATTCCACAAAGTAAGGAGCAAACAGAGAGGGACTCACAACTCCGTCAAGCCAAATGTTGTCTGTTCTTGTGTGCCTTCCCAGGTGACACTGTCCCTCCTTCGCCTCCTACAGTGCACAGACTCCTATAGTGAAATCATTATCCAGTCACAATCCATAACATTTTCTTACTTTGGATGCAAAGAGTTAACAGCATTTTTGTTTAAAGAATGTAAGGGATTGTTGCCAATGCTCTGAGGTGTGGAGGTGGTGAAATGAATGCATAGCAACACATACTCTGCAAACACAAATACAGCTGGTGAAAAGATTAATCAAGCAAGGGCAGGAAGTAAGAACATTTGTCACACAAAAAAATGGCTACGTAGAGCTAAAAACAGAGCGATGGACACACAATGGGACAGGAATAAAAGACTGGAGTAGACTGTCAGGGCTGATGAGCCTTGTTCTCTCTGCTGCAGCTTACCCCATCATAGAGTCCTTTCAGAGACTAAACAGGGCTATAGTAGCAACACAGTCATAACAGATGTGACAGCAGACCGATAAAGGTGTCTCAGTTGGGATGCATGGGATTAAATCTAAACCATGCTCTAGAGCTGCTTGGAAGCTCTCTTCCAGTTGACCCAACTGTAAATGACTATATGAACTAGATGTATACGGCTTTTCTGTGCTCAGTAAGCTATGTTCAGCATGAGACTGGAAGGAGGCTTGTGTGATCTAAAAGTGGTTTCACACTATCTAACTATGCTTGCATTTGGAGCCTTGCTGAGGGCTTGGCCAGCTCTGAAGACATCAGGGAAACCAGGCAAAACTGGAACCAGTTTTCTGAATGGTGCATGCCATCATGGGCTAATGAAGAATGGATATAGAACTATTCTGCTTGCTCTTACTAGCCCAGGAAATTTTCCAGCTGGATGAGATCCTCAGTGGAGCATCCCCCCAGATATTTTTATTCTTTTATTTCTTTTCAGCCTAATGACGTGTACACAGAGTCCTTTAGGGATCTTGCATTCGCAGAAAATTCAATTCCTTGCCCCACATGGTCACGGGACCTTGGGTTTGTGGTGGTCCCTGCGCAAGTGTTGCAAGACTGCATAGCTTCTAACATAAAGATGCACTCCAGCCAGTGTGGCTCATAGCATAATATATTCAGACAAGTCTGGGGAGACTATCGCATAAACTTCCCATTTCCACTCAAATAGATCATATTGCTGAGCAAAGTGAATTGGCTAGGGAGCCAATAACAAGGGGCTGCAGTAAAATTTAAAACCTATTATAGAAATATATGTACCTGTGTACAGGTCGGTGAAAAATAACAAAGGTAATAGAAGTGAATGAAGAGGCTAAGCTAAGCTTTTATATAAAGTGCAAAAAGAAAAAGTGATATGATTTTTTTTTTGCTTAGAGAATGTGAGCACTCTGAGGATAGCAAGCAAATATTTGGACAACTCACTATGAAAAGAAGTATCCAGCATTTCTGTGTGTTTAAAACACATTACTGTCACATATCTATTGATTTATAAAGCAAAAGTAGATAGAACAGCAATTTAATTCTACTTTGGTTGTTTCACTAATGCACATCATTGTGCATTAATAAAAGACACAATAAATAAATAAATTTACAGAGAGATGAAGAAACTGTAGATGTGTGATGTGAGGTACCAGAATTGTCAAGTGGCGATTAAATCCTTGCTAAAGTCTTCTGCTTCCTATGTCTGAGTATGTGAAATCATGGTTTGGATAACTAGAGCTTCTGAGTGAGAACAAAAGAAGTCACTCCTTGGTCTTAGAGCAAAGGGCCACCTGGAGAAGCAGGGGTGGAAGAGTGGGCTCTTCACCACTTGAAGAACATGGGTGCTATAGCCCAGTTTTTCTGGTCAGCTTGTTTGGACATTTTTAGCTATGTAGAAACACACCTTAGAAGTGTAAATCAATTTATAAGCTGACAGACATGAAGGGCAGGTGGGATTTAATGGGCTGCCAGGCTGAAGTCTACCTCCCGCGCAGCACTCATAGAGCCTTTGCTGGCGTCAGGGGCACCGAGAGGGGAAAGGTCAGGACTGTATGTCCCGGACCTGCCGTCTCCCACCCACTCTGCCCACAACAGTGACTGGAGCTGGTGACCTGACCAGCACTACCCCAGGCTTTGCCATTCATCCTGACCAGCCTCCGTGCTTTCCTCCTTCAGGAACTCATACTCAGCCATTTTCCCTCCTGAATCCTTGTGCACCTCACCAGCCCCATCTCAATACCCCTACCCTTGACTATACTTTTATTTTCTAGCATTCCACTGACTTTCTCACAGCTCTCTCTCAGCAGTCTGGGCTCAGGTTGCACAGCAGGACATACCCAAGCTGTCCTTGCTGGGTCTGCAGCAGACTGGCTGCCTATTGCCAGGCCCCTGGACACCACTGTACGTGCCTAAGCTGTTGAACGCTGGGGTGGTGGAGATGACTCCTGCCTCCCTGCGTGCC